GGTTTAATATTACACAATTTGCAAAAGTTCAAGGGGTAAGTCAAAAAAACAACTCAAAAAAACAATTAGCATGCTTGCACAGTGCAGACGGTGCTTGTATCCCTGGTACCCCCACCATCCCAGCCTTCTTTTCCCCTCTCTACACACAAAAACACCCTATGCAGCTGCAGGTTTTGACCTGTGAATAACTGCCCAGACAAGGTTTAGTCAGACAGTCGGGGAGACAGGAAAAAGATTCAGGGGCCGACATGGCTCATACAGGCCAATCGTAGATGCTTATCATGTTTTAATGGGAGTTAAGCTGTGGGAGTAAAGGGTCATGTTAAAAAATGGATGTGATTCTAAATATTTCTAATCCTGGTGTATTTCTGCCTGGAAAATGTGGATAGGGTCATAACGGATTCAGATTCAGTCCGAGCGTATGAAAGTGTCTTACAGGGAAAGGATTAGATGGGCATGTGTGCTCATACACCCGCTGCACCTTCCCAGCAGCTCATCTTCTTGCACATTCCTAGGAGAGGCAACGGCAAACAAACAGTTTAGAGTTCAAGTGAAACATGCTCCATTCTGTCCTCAACTTTCTTAGATGGTCTTAAAATCTCAGGTGGTGCTGCACGCACAGACATACACTGTATATAAGTTAGGTTAAAGATGAAAGTTTAAAAAAAGGAGGGGATTACTTTAAATAAGCTTCCAGTGATCCATCGCAAGGGCAGGCCACGCATTTATGGTTGCCGTTGTCACTGGGAGGGATAAAACATGTCCTTTGCAATGGCTTTATAATGAAGATAAAACTATGAGGAGGTTAATTCCGCATGACAGACATAATCCTGATCATTTGGAAAAAGAGTAAGAGTGGTATGTGGCGTGGATAGTTAATCACCATCCTCCTTATTGTTTCCTGCTGAGACAGACATTTTTCTTTTCTCTCAGCAGAGTGTAAGCACATATTTCCCCCTGAGATCGAGATTGTTCTCACTGCGGTCTGCTAAAATGCATTAGCGGCTACAAGTGAAGGTGGTAATTTAAAGTCCTGACTCAACTGCTCCCACTCTAATTTTGATTCAAGTTTCAGGGGAAAGATCTGTGCTGAATGTTTGTGGAATAATGACCATCTGTTCTTTTGCTTGCTTGCTGAATTACACTGAATGCAAGACTGAAAACCTTTTTAAGCGATCTATCTATCTATCTATCTATCTATCTATCTATCTATCTATCTATCTATCTATCTA